CCAAAACTGGGGGGTGTCTTATGGGAATTCTGGTGGGTTTTAGCTTGGCTGTGCTCTACTGCACACCCCTTCCCTTGCACAGCCACGCAATTTTCAGCCCAGAGCACAATTCCAAAGGATTATTTGTTGATTATTTTTTCAGAGTTTCCCAAGCAAAACCCCTTATTTATACAATAAAAGCCTCCAAAGTGGAGAGAACAGCATCACTTTTAAACCCCCAAAGGCCACACCTGGGAGACCAACGAGTTAATCTGAGGTCCAAACCCCCCACTTTTGACCTACAAACCCACACTTCAAAATTCCAAGGTTGATGATTTTCAAGTTCAAAGCCCAGAGGGCCCAGAGCATTATTTTTAAGAGCCTGACCAGGGAGGTTGGTGGCACTGTGATGTCACACTGAGTCTGTGACACGTGGGGACAAAAAGGGGCTGTGGGGTGCTGGCATCTGCACTCTGGAGGACACAATCCACAGGGTGACCACCTTTGCCACTGAAGACATGGCTGTGGCCACTCAGGATCAAGCTGGCAACGTGAGCCAGACCAAGATGGACTTCTGGGATGGGATGGAGTCTGTCTTCATGATGCCCAACATCACCCCCACAGGTACAGGCACTGCAGGAGCATCACCAGGACCCGCCTTCCCAGCCCTGGGGACACCTGGGGACAGCAGGACACACACCCCTGGCTGTTAAAATCATTAGAAATGCTGAATTAAGGTGCAAGTGAGACCAGATGCCAAAGTCAACAATATGGATTTTATTTAACAGCGAACTTGAGGCAGAGAAAGAAAAATAGAAAGAAAAAAGAAAAAAGGGGGGGGGGGGGAGAATTGGACAGAGAGAGATTAAGTAGAAAATATATCACCACTCCAGGGTATCCCATGGTCCTCTTGGTCTTCTGGTCTTCTTGGTGGTGAGGGTCCCACAAAAGAGAGTCCAGTGCATTAAGACCATCAGGAGACTCTCAGGCACCTCCCTTGGGGTGGGGGGAAGCTTTGCAGTCTCCTGTGACAGGATCTGGATTTGCTCCATCACTTGGATCTCCCGCAGTCCTCTGGTGGTGGGAAGGCTCAGGAACGAGTCAGGGGGGGTCTTTGATGGTTTGTGACCCTTCTCAGCTGCCTCTCA